CTTATCTATTCCTAATCCCATTTTTACCCTGTTTTAGAAAAACAGGGTTGAAAAAAGCAAGAAGGACAAAACAGAGAAAGGATAATAATTACAGGGGAATACTGAAAACAATCCAAGTAAGACGATTAGAATAAAGAAGGGTATTAACAAGTGAGAAACCGAGAATAGAGTATAAAAAAAATAATTGGGGGGCTACCCTGGTGGGGCAGTGGTTGAGAGTCCGCCTGCCGCTGCAGGGGACACGTGTTCGTGCCCCAGTCCGGGAAGATCCCACATGCCGCGGAGCGGCTGGACCCGTGAGCCATGGCCGCTGAGCCTGCGCGTCTGGAGCCTGTGCTCCGCAACGGGAGAGGCCACAACAGTGAGAGGCCCACGTACCACACACACACACACACACAAATAATAATAATTGGGAGGCTAGAAAGGGAAGGAGAAAGAAAGGAAGACAGAGCATGAGCAACACAGTGGGAGACAAAAGGCTGAGAGCAAGTAACCAAGTGCAAGAGAGTTGAATGGAAGAGAAGAGAGAAAAAGGAATTTAAAAAGACATAAAAAACCCAAATCAAAGTTTGCTCATTTGCTGTATAAAGTTAGCAAAACTCAAATAATACAATAAATGTAGTATGTAGGTAAATAATTTTCCAAAAATGCATCTTTCTATGATAATAAGAGCTCTTATACTAAGACTTTAAATTCAAAAGTCCTATCCTGGAAAAGGGAACACTCTTGCACTGCTGGTGGGAATGTGAATTGGTACAGCCACTATGGAGAACAGTATGGAGGTTCCTTAAAAAACTACAAATAGAATTACCATATGACCCAGCAATCCCACTACTGGGCATATACCCTGAGAAAACCATAATTCAAAAAGAGTCATGTACCAAAATGTTCATTGCAGCTCTATTTACAATAGCCTGGAGATGGAAACAACCTAAGTGCCCATCTTCGGATGAATGGATAAAGAAGATGTGGCACATATATACAATGGAATATTACTCAGCCATAAAAAGAAACGAAATTGAGCTATTTGTAATGAGCTGGATGGACCTAGAGTCTGTCATACAGAGTGAAGTAAGTCAGAAAGAGAAAGACAAATACCGTATGCTAACACATACATATGGAATTTAAGAAAAAAAAATGTCATGAAGAACCTAGGGGTAAGACAGGAATAAAGACACAGACCTACTAGAGAATGGACTTGAGGATATGGGGAGGGGGAAGGGTGAGCTGTGACAAAGCGAGAGAGAGGCATGGACATATATACACTACCAAATGTAAGGGCGATAGCTAGTGAGAAGCAGCCTCATAGCACAGGCAGATCAGATCGGTGCTTTGTGACCACCTGGAGGGTTGGGATAGAGAGGGTGGGAGGGAGGGAGACGCAAGAGGGAAGAGATATGGGAACATATGTATATGTATAACTGATTCACTTTGTTATAAAGCAGAAACTAACACACCATTGTAAAGCAATTATACCCCAATAAAGATGTTAAAAACACAAAACAAAACAAAAACAAAAGTCCTATCCTGAAATCTGGTGTGAAACTAGATACAATCAGACTAGCTAGCCCAGATGTCGAGTCCAGTATATTTAACAACTTAAGGTATGATTTAAAAAATCAGTAGGCATGTGATAGATTCTTTATTAAATCTATTAAATTATATTAGGTAACTTTAGAAAAAAATAATATTTATATCCTAAGAAAAATACTAGTTCCAGGGCTTCCCTGGTGGCGCAGTGGTTGAGAGTCCGCCTGCCGATGCAGGGGACACGGGTTCGTGCCTTGGTCCGGGAAGATCCCACATGCCGTGGAGCGGCTGGGCCCAGAAGCCATGGCCGCTGAGCCTGTGCGTCCGGAGCCTGTGCTCCGCAACGGCGGAGGCCACAACGGTGAGAGGCCCGCGTACCGCAAAATAAATAAATAAATAAATAAAATAAAATACTAGTTCCAAATTTAAAAAAAAACAAGGAACTTTGATACATCAGAAAGGGCAAATAAACTACTAAGAAGAGTTTTTACAAAAAACTGATAAGAACTAATATCCCTAAAATACAAATAGTTACACAAATCAATAGAAAAATGAATACAGGGCATAAGCAGACAATAGGAGATGAAAATGGCTAGTGTTCATACAAAAAAGCATTTAGTTGCACTAGAAATTTTTTTAAAAAGTAAACTAAAATATAAATGCAATTTTTACTTAAATCAGAAAGATTAAAACCAATAGTATTTAGTGTTGTATCTGGTGCTCTGTTGAGACAGGTACACTTAAAACATTGCTGGTAGTAATATATTATAAAGTAGGATAACCTTTCTGGAGGACAACTGGAATTATGTACCAAATATTTAAAAAAGAAATATGCCCTTCGACTTAATGAAGTCAGATACACAGACAAAGATTTGGGTTAAAAGGATATTCATTCCAGTTATCTATAATAGCAGTCTGTTGGGAAATGGTTATGTAAATACAGAATTTATTTTTGGGTGTGGTATAAAGTAGGAGATTAATTGAATTTTTTCCCATGTGGCTAACTAATTGACCCAGTATCATTTACTGACTAGCTCAACCATTCCCCACTGATGTAAGACTACACCTCTGCTTACATATCTGTAGTGGTCTGTGGCATTCAATTCTCTTCCACTGGGTGCTTTATTACCTCATGTAAATATTACATAGACTTAATGGCACAATTTTAGAATGAGTCTTGATATTGGATAGAACAAATTTCTCTGCTTTCATATTGTTTCAGAAACATTTTGGCTGTTTTCCCCCTCCCACTTTTCTTACATTTTAGAAACAGCTTATTAAAGTCCTCCAAAGATCCTTCTGGGATTCTGAGTAGAATTTATGGATGCATTTGAAAGAAATGATATATTTTAGATATCAAGACTTCCCACCCAAGTTCATGATGTAGGTCTTCATTTGTTTAAGTATTCTTTATGTATATGCATATCTGTATCTATATCAATATCTATATCTAATGGGAAGATACAACTTTTGTTGTATTTATTCCTTATAGGAACCTTATTATTTTATTGTTATTATAAATGGTATATTAAAAATTAACTTTCTGGTTTTGGCTGGTATATAGAAATGTAACTGATTTTTGTATACTGATCTTATATCTAGCAACTTAGAGAAACTTTTAATGAGTTTCCTTCCTGATGGCACTTTCCCCTGTATTAGGGGGATATCCGAGAACTCTGAGGCATGAAAATTGTCAGGCGTGATTCAGAATGTGAATGTGAGTACGGAAGAAGGAAGACAGGTGAGTCATCCTCTCCCCTCCTGACTCTGGTAATAATGAGATATGGAGGACTCTGCTCTGAAATGGTGCCCATCCCCAGGGGGGGAGCCCTTGTCTCTCTGAGGTGGGCTGCTCAGAACTTACAAACTGTTGCTGTATTTAGATGGGAACTGGTTCCTTCTCATCCTTCAGGTTTTAGCCTACCTGTCACCTCTTCACAGACTCCTGATTGGCATCTGTCAGACCTCACCTGTGCCTGCCCTTATTCCCTATTACAGAATCCAGTTCATGCCTTTCATGGTAGGTAATGATCACTTTCTTTGTGTTTATTTGTTTGGTCATGTTCCTGTTTACTGTCTCTCCTCCTTGTCAATTGCAAACTTCATAAGAGCAGAGACCAGGTCTGTTTTGTTTATTTCTGTACTCTTGGTACCTGTCACTTAGCTTAAATATTAAAAAAAATATATTTGTAGACTGAATGAGTTAAATATGTCAAACATCTGTTTCAATTTTTAATGTGAATAATAAATTGGATCATCAGTTAAAATATATCTTATTTGTGTAATTTTATTTTATCTTCCTAACTGCCTTTTAAAATAGGCACTGCTGGTTTCCATGTGACAAATGAGGTAACTAAGGCACAGTGAAATAAGTAACATGGTGCAAACTAATAGCTAGAAATCAGTAGAATTGAAAACAGAACCCAAATCATCTAACTCAAAAGCCATACAAAACAATAAAAAGAGAAAGAAAAAAGGGAGAAAGAGAAGACAAGAGAAAGGAAGAATAGAGGGAGGAAAGTTCATTCATTCCTGACCTTTCCATCCTAAGGGCATATCATACCACTTATTCTGCTAAGAACTCCTTAACTCACACTTTAAGTCTTTTAGGAAGCCTCATACCTCTCAAAGACATTTCAGGCCAGTAGACAGATTAAGAATACGTTCAAGCAACACTGTTCTACGTGAATCATATAGAGCAGGAAATAAAAGGAGTTTACAGTTACAGAATAAGTGTTTTTTTCCTGGCTACATTTTACCAGGACAAAACTTGCTGGTAAAGTCAGGCACACAATCAAGTCTGATAATTGTAAGAAGTATTTACAACATGATTTAAGTTTCAGTTTCACGTTCCAGTTCATTCTATCATAATTTATCTGCCTTAGTCAACTTTACACAAAACTCTGGCTCTCTCTTCACACTGAAAAGCCACGTGAGAATATCTTTCCAGTTGTACTACAGTTGAGAGGGTAGAAATAGAATTACTTTCTATTGGAATCATTATTTCAAGAAAGAATATTGTACTCAACTTTCATTTTAATCAATGATACTATTTGTCCCCTTTCCTTTCTTTGTTCCTAAGTCTGATGATAAAATGGTAATTTCCATTAATTCTGATCACCTGGCTTCACTCTGTGACGTAAAAAGAAGGAAAGGAATCTCCTGCTGTTTCCAGTCTCCATGTAGTAAAAGAAAAAGTACTAGCCCCTAAGTTAATAATACCACTTTTGTGATTTGGAGGGGGAAAACACTTTCCTGCCAAAGGGTAATCCATGTATAAGAGCTGATTGCTAGGTGAAACACACTGACAGAATGAGATGTTATCATAGACTCTATCAACACAAGAATTCAAAATCGCTGAGAAGTACTTCTCACCTCTTTCTGAACTCAAACAGAGTAATATGGTATTGATGAAATTCTGTCTGCTACAGGAGGACATGACAGTTCCTTCTTAATCCAAAGTGGTTTATCAGGGATGGACAGTGACATGATGTAAAGCTTAGTTAGAGATCCCAACCTCAGGATCCGACATACCCATGACCGAGACATCATATTCGATCAGCAGCGTTGCTTCTTGTCCACACTGTTTGAGAATACTCATGGCCTCAGCATGTGTGGTTCCAAGAAGCCGAATTCCATCCACACTGAGCAACCTATCACCAGGTTTGATTGTGCCCTCTCTGAAGGGAGAATAAAGAAATAGTCATTAATTTACCATCATGGGGCTTAGCATTAATAGTCACTTAGCCAAAGAGGCTCTTTCACACACATTCTACCATCTATCCCATTTGCATTTCCTTTTAAGCATCAAGTGTGACATTAAGAGAGTAAAGAGGTAACCCTGACCAGAAAGTTGCTGCAGTATGAAAATCAGTGATAAGAAAATAACTACACATTAGCAAATAACCAGGTCACCCACGATGAACTCTTGGGGTGTAAAAGTAATAAAGGCACATTTTCTCTTTTCTAGGTTTTTGCCAAAATGTCTAAAATTGATTTATTAGAGCCCAAGAAAGAACACTCACCTATTTTCCCAGAGCCAGGTGAGCAGAAAAGTCTGCTGGTTTCATTCAATTTATCACCAGTGAACCCAAGCTGGAAAGGGAATGCTGGTGAAAAATTTCCCTAGTCTGTAAATTTTCCTACTGATTTATAAGGCCATTTGACGATCATTAAATTGATTCAGTCTCACATTCAATGGAAAAGGCAGGCAAATACTATTCTCCCTTCTGTGGCCACAGACACTCAAGGCGCTGGGAGAAGATGCCTCAGGACGGTAATGACACCACTAAAATGTAGCCAGAGAGGCTACCAGATTATAACCCTCCTGCCTCAGGGAGGGTCAATGAAGATAAGAAAATCAGATGCGGGGATTACAAGTTTAGCATTTGGAAAGATTAAAAATGCTATCTTAAATATCTTTCATCCAGCAACTCTCTATGTATTTTGACTCTAAATTTTTATCTTAAATTCTTAGATTTCCTTTAGTCCTCCATTAATTCGGTAATACGTTGCTCACAAACTAGTAGCCTGCTCCTGACATTTCTGTCAACTCAAACTCTAGAATGTTATTAAGAAATAGAAATATTCTCATTTGCTTCGGGAAGAATAATTCACAAGAAAAGGCAGGAGAAGGAAAAAAAACTGGCAAAATTTCCTTGGAAATTTTGACTTTGTATTATCCTCTGCAAAGGCAAATACACTTTAGTGCGGAGGAGAACCCAGTGTCTCCATATTTTCTCATTTTATATTAAACATTGACTTAAAAAACAAACTGAGCTAACAGTATGAGCTTTGAAGGAAAATAAATCTGAATTTCTATCCTAGCTGGCAAGTCATTTAACCATACTGAGCCTCAGTTTTGTCACCTGTAAATCTGGATAAAAATACCTGACTTAGTGGGTGGTTGTGAAGACAAGATAATGTCTGCCAAGTACTGAGCACAGTTCCTGGCCCATGGTGGTCACTCATCAAGCAGTATTTATTATTATTATTACTATTTCGAGTGCTTAAGAAAGGTTTTTAAAAATCCATCCTAGGCTGAAACATAGTGCAGAGTCAGGGGTAATCAGTGCGTTTTCCTCCTCTCCTTCAACTATATCTAGTGGCAGGCATTGTGTTCCCTACCATTATGGAGCAGACTTTTCGCTGTGGGAAATTAGTACAAAGATAAGCATCTCTTGAGACATCTAAGTTGTGAGTTTACTTGGGACCCCCAAGGTTTATTGTAGGAAAGCTGAAGGAGCTTCTATCAGATATTCAAATTAGCCAGGAAGAGAATGCTCTAAACACTAACACTGACAATATCCCTTCCCTTTTACTAAAAGTCCCTTCTATTCTGACATACATAATCATCATCAAAGGGTGATAATCACGATAAGGACGTTGGCAATAGTAAGAGTCCGAGAACACCACCACCTGTCTTTTCAGGTTAGGATATTACCAATTGGAGAGGATGCATTTCAAGGACCTGCTGTTAAAGGGCCAGCTGCCTTTTTTTTTTATAATTAATTTTTATTGGAGTAGGGTTGCTTTACAATGTTGTGTTAGTTTCTACTGTACAGCAAAGTGAATCAGCTATACATATACATATATCCCCTCTTTTTTGGATTTCCTTCCAGGATGAAAGGCCTCCTGCAAGGCACCATAAATCTCTAATCTTTGATAAAACAAAAAACCTTGAAAGGTATGCATTATCATCTACATTTTACAGTTGGAGGGAACTGAGCTTAGAACTGTTAAGTCATTTGCCAAAAACACAGGGTAGCAAGCATTGAATCTGGAGTCAAACTTTCTTCTGATTCTGCAGCCTGAACTCTTTTGTTTTCACATTCCAACATATTTACTTAAGACCTATCTGTTACTATGAAATTTCTAATTCATCAACTTCTATGCCAAAGTCCCCAGCTTTATTTAATCTATTTGGATAGTGACACAGAAAGATGAAGTTTACCTGTCAGCAGGCCCTCCAGGACGAACACATGTTATTACAACCGGACGAGATTTATTTCTATCTTCATGTGCTCCCCCTAGCAAAGAAAAGGAATACGGCTCAAAAAATGCTCTCATTGCTGCCATTAAGAAATTCACTTACAAAATGCCCGCTGAGAAACTGAAACAAATGTTATTGTTGTATATGGAGGAATACTTACAATGTTTCCTTCTGGCACATAACAGACTTAAAAACCTTATTCATTTTATACAGAATATATTGTTGAAGTCAACATTTCTCCTCTCTCAATAAATATATGGCTGTAATCGGGGTGAGATATAAAATGTTTAACAACTACTGTGATAAGAGCATCAAATAATTATAAATACTAGCCCAATTAGAACAGCTGCTGGCTATAAACAAAGTGTAGGTGGGTATATTTGGTGTCAATCAACCTGAGCTGTTATACTGGTGAGTCTACAACGTGACATGAAGCAAAAACTAAAGGAAAAGAAAAAATCCGAATATTAAAAAAAAAAAAAGTTCGAGTGGCTGAAGTGGCCTCCATTAAAAACGGGGTTTTCAAAATATTAGTGCATTCTAAAAGCACTACATTTTTAGTGCCCACATTTTTTTTTTACATTTTTATTGGAGTATAATTGCTTTACAGTGGTGTGTTAGTTTCTGCTTTATAACAGTGTGAATCAGTTATACGTATATATATATCCCCGTATCTCTTCCCTCTTGCGTCTCCCTCCCACCCTCCCTATCCCACCCCTCTAGGTGGTCACAAAGCACTGAGCTGATCTCCCTGTGCTATGCGGCTGCTTCCCACTAGCTCTCTTTTTTACATTTGGTAGTATACATCTGTCCATATATACACTACCACTCTCTCACTTTGTCCCAGCTTACCCTTCCCCCTCCTCATGTCCTCAAGTCCATTCTCTAGTAGGTCTGCGTCTTTATTCCCACCTTGCCCCGAGGTTCTTCATGACCGTTGTTTTTTTTTTTTAAGATTCCATATATATGTGTTAGCATATGGTATTTGTTTTTCTCTTTCTGACTTACTTCACTCTGTATGACAGACTCTAGGTCCATCCACCTCACTACAAATAACTCAATTTCGTTTCTTTTTATGGCTGAGTAATATTCCATTGTGTATATGTGCCACACCTTCTTTATCCATTCATCTGTCAATGGACACTTAGGTTGCTTCCATGTCCTGGCTATTGTAAATAGAGCTGCAATGAACACTGTAGTATCCCCCACATTTGATGTGGGTTTTTAAAAATAATTAATTAATTAATTTATTTATTTTTAGCTGCATTGGGTCTTCATTGCTGTGTGAGGGCTTTCTCTAGTTGAGGTGAGCTGGGGCGACTCTTTGTTGTGGTGCGTGGTCTTCTCATTGCAGTGGCTTCTCTTGTTGTGGAGCATGGGCTCTAGGCGTGCGGGCTTCAGTAGCTGTGGCACGTGAGCTCAGTAGTTGTGGCTCGCGGGCTCTGGAGCACAGGCTCAGTAGTTGTGGCGCATGGGCTTAGCTCCTCCGTGGCGTGTGGGATCTTCCCGGACTAGGGCTCGAATCCGTGTCCCCTGCATTGGCAGGTGGATTCTTAACTACTGTGCCACCAGGGAAGTCCCTGATGTGTTTTGATGTTACATTTTACATCTTTTTATTTTGTATCCCTTAACAAATTTTTGTAGTTATAGCTAATTTTACTACTTCTGTCTTTTAACCTTCATACTAACTTTATAAGTGGTTGATCCACTACCTTTACCATATATTTGACTTTACCAGTGAGATTTTTTCTTTCATATATTTTCTTATTTATACTTAGGGCCATTTCTTCTCAGCTTAAAGATGTCCCTAAAGGGACATTTCTTGTAAGGCCAGTTTAGTGGTAATGAACTACTTTTGCTTTTGCTTGTCTGGAAAACTCTTTATCTCTCCTTCAATTCTGAAAGTTAACCTTGCCAGGTAGAGTATTTTTGGAAGTTTTTTCCTTTTAGCACCTTGAATATATCACGTCACTCCCTTCTGGCCTGCAAATTTTCTGCTGAAAAATCAGTTGATAGTCTTATGGGAGTTCCCTTGTATATAACGAGTTGTCTTTCTCTTTCTGCTTTGAGTCTCTCTTTAACTTTTGACAGTTTAATTATGTATCTTGGTATGGATCTCTTTGGGCTCATCTTGTTTGGGATTCTCTGTGCTTCCCAAACCTGGATGTCTATTTCCTTCCCCAGGTTAGAAATGTTTTCAGCCATTATTTCTTCAAATAAGTTTTCTGCCCCTTTCTCTCTCTTCTCTTTCTGGGACCGCTATAAAGTGAATGCTAGTATGCTACATGTTGTCCCACAAGTCCCTTAAGTTATTCTCATTTTTAAAAATTCTTTTTTCTTTTTGCCATTCTGTTTGGATGATTTCTACTACCTTGCCTTCCAGGTCACTGATCTGTTCTTCTGTTTCAACTAGTTTGCTATTGAATCCCGCTAGTGGATTTTTCAGTTCAGTTATTGTATTCTTCAGCTTTATGACTTCTCTTTGGTTCTTTCTTATGTGTTCTTTCTCTTTGTTGAAGTCCTCACTGTGTTCTTCATTCTTCTCCTGAGTTGGGTGAGCATCTTTATGACCATTACTTTGAACTCTTTATCAGGTAAATTACTTATCTCCATTTCATTAGGGTTTTTTTTTTTTCCTGAAGTTTTATCTTGTTCCTTTATTTGGAACATTTTCTTCTGTTTCCTCATTTTGCTTGACTCTCTGTGTTTGTTTTGATGTATTATGCAAAACAGCCATCTCTCAGTCTTCAAAGATTGTCCCAGTCTCGATGTGGCCCTTTCATAATTTCTTGGGGAGTAAGAATTCAGCTGTTTCTGGGGTTCTTTTCAGAGTAAACTGTTTTATGTGTAGCTGTATGTTTGTTGTGTCTGTGGGAGGAACTGAGTTCAGGATCTTCCTACCCAGCCATCTTGAACCACCCTCTATCCACTTCCACTTTCTTAACTATTGTTTGCATGACCTGATTTCCTCATACATCACCATCCTGGCTGCCCATCTGGATGGTCTCTAGTTTGCCAGTATTTGATAAATATGAATGTTACCATCATATGACATATTTTGTTTGTTTTTTTAAATTTTATACAGCATGTTCTTATTAGTTATC